CTATGATTAGTAAAATAATACTAAATGAGATCCACCCAAAATATTCAGCCTATCGCAGTATCGCCTATATTTGGCGGCGAATTTAGCAAAATGTAAAACCCCAATGTCCCGTATTCTTGTAATATGATCGCTGTCATATATTAGTAGGTATTGTTTCCTTATCTTGTTAGTTGTTACCACTATATCTATATCTATATTAATGAAGTAATCAAAAACAATTTTGTTTTTTTCTTTTCTCTATCAGTTTGTCAGAATGTTATTGAGAATTAGTACTACGTCCGTCAATACTTGCCACTAGGATAAACAATAATCTATCACTTCGATTGGTTGGTGACTCGCCGCGCGCCGCTCGCCAGTCGCTAGTCGCTACTCGCTAGTCGCCACTATTAGCTCAATACTTCATTTAGCTCTCGTGTAGTCAGTAGGTATATTATAGAACGTGTAATCGTGTGCCATCATAACACAGTTGTACCTATATTATGTGATTGAACGTCTCGTTATTATTTGTTTAATTACCTATTTAATTACTTACATATATTCGAAAAATATTTTACAAATGGCAAAGAAAAAATTGAAAAACAAAATTGCTGAAGGTAAGCATTATATAAATGCATTGCTATTATTAATAATCGATGCCGAATAATGTTTCATCTGTTATTTATTATTATTTAGATTGGGTTGCAGTCCAATTTATCGACGACAAAATTCTTCAATTATGTCCAGGAAAAAGTATTAAAAAAAAAATAGTAATTGGAAACAATTATTTTGTCAAATATAAAGATGGTTACAAATATTAAGCAGTTATTTTAAAAAAAGGAAGTAAGTTTATAGTTCATTATAGAACTTAATATTGAACCTTATTTATAAACCACTAGACAGGTAGGTAAGTTCGAGTACCTAGTTATTAGTAGAGGTCAGAATATGAGATTTATATTTTCTTAAAAACCTTTAAATATGATGTTTTTATGTTTATTAAAATAGACAAAAGGTTTATTTTCTTAATATTCTTTAAAAAAAAAAACAGATAGGTTATAGGTATATGACATTTTATTTTGGTACTTAAAAATGCAAACTATTCTTTTAATATTCAGTAAAGAAAAATAATTTAAGTTATTCAGTTTAAATTAATTTAATTAAATTTTCTTTACAATATAATATATTCTCTATATCTTATTAAATGTTTCTTCATTAATAAAAATAAGGTACCTAACTACCTAAGTGACTACCTAATAATTTACATATCCAGTGGCGCCGAAACCATGTTTTGGTCGCCACACCTATTTTAGGGGGTGGGTGTAGCCCCCTAAAATTGGTGGGTAATCGTAATCCTAAGTATAATAATATATTGTACAAATATACAAATATAAAAAGATGACTTCATAGTGTGTTGTAGCGTGCAGTGTGTACTTTGTGGTGACTTTAGAAATAGCCAATAACTAACTAATAATTTAATGAATAGTGTTTTCATTAATAAATAAATTCTAGTATTTATAAACAATGGTATTGTGAAAAAGTCAAAAACCTTAAATTCTAAATCATAAATGAATAACCGTACAAACTTTATATTTTAACAACATTTTTATATAATACATGAGCATTTTCTTTACAAGATATTTCCTAAAAGAGATACAAAATATATTTACTCTTTTTGAGCTTTAAAAATTTTTATTTTTAAATTTTGTCGATGAATAATTTTTTCTCTCAGTCAAGTTAAACACAGATCCACAATACATTTTTTTTAATACGCGTCTAAAGTTAAAACTTTAACAACATTTATTAAAATTGCGAACCTAACTTTTAGAAAGGAAAAGTTTACCAAAAAATCACATTCATTTCATTTGAAATTCAATTTTTTACGATGGATATTTAACCGTTAATTAATTATTTCTCCTCAAACGATTTTTGATATTATGTTATAAATTCAACAATTAACTATAAATAGATATTTTAAATTTTCACCAAATGATTATAATAAAATATTATCATTTTCTGTAAGTACCTACATAATGAAATGTTCAAAATATTTTGACTCTTTTTAAATTATTTATAGACATTTAAAATTTTGAAAAAAAATGTCTTATTATTGATCAAACAATTTTTGCCGGGTCTAAAAGCTTGAACAAGGTTCCTCATAAGTTGTTAAAATAGCAATTTTGAAATAATGAAGATTTAAGCATTTTAAGTAGGTACAGATTTTTACAAAACTAGTCAATATCGAATATTTGCAAACATTTTTTGGTTAAAAATGTATAAAATGTTAAATTTTTATAGCTTAGGATTGGAAATTTAAAACCAGATTTCTCATAAGTAGGTAATTCTAATAATATTACTCATTATAAGTGAAATGTCATAATCACATTATTATATTATGGTTTTTCTATCTAGGACTGTAACAATAAAAATCTAAAAAATATATAAGCACAGTTTTTTTCATAGTAATTTTAAGTTGAAACTTGGCCGAAATTAGATGTTTGAACGAAGATTAACGATATTCATTATTTCGTTATAATTCAAAAACATTATAGGTACTTGACGACTTATAACTTTTACTTATATTATTACTCGTATTTTTTATACATACAAATAAGTTCTATAATGCAATGTTTTAAGCAAAATTTAATTCAGCACATTGTTTTACCATCAGTAAAATAAATTACTTAAAGAGGTAATGGCAACATAAATATAATATTATCTATTTAACTATATAAGAATATTGTAAGTATCATATGGAAATGATATTGGTATTGAAACTAAAGCAATTATTAATATTTTTACTTAAAATATAACTATAGTACAGTACTAAAAAAGATATTATGATTATATTAAAGATATTGTAAAACCATTAACCAAATAATATACATATATTTACATGGGTATAAGAAAAAAATGTCATAGTTCTAATTTTTACTGAATGGTATGATGTACCTAGCTAAAAGCTTATTTAACTAAATCAGTGACTGTGATTATCGTTTTAAGATGATAATAACTTGGTTTTCATTTTTAGTAGGCTTGTTCTGAAGATTAACCTAATTGTAATGTGTTAAAATATGAAATAATGCTATAATGTAAACATAATGCAGTAAATATTATAACTTGTAAAAATATTTTTTAGATTAAAAATTTGTGTGATGGAAGGGGGTTGCCCCCACGACTTAGTTCTAATATTCCATGGGGGTAGGTGGGTATAAGTTATTGTTCATTGCCACACCTAAAAAAATTTAGTTCGGCGCCACTGTAACATATCTTATAGGTACCTACAATTTTAATAAAATATTGTTTTCCGACATCTAGTTATACCTAGTGTAGATACCTATTAGATAATACTAGGTATACTAATTACCTACACTATAAATCATTATAGAATATAGATTGAAATTAGTTTGCCCAAACCGATGTAAAAACTAAAAGCCCACTAGTATGTTTGCACCATATTAATGACATGTTGCAAGAATACATAGAGGTTTTTTTTGCACATGTTTCTTTGTTCAAATTTAATTTAAAATGATTAATTTATTTAAAATTGTTTAAGATAAATGTGATATGGAAGCTTTTATAAATTCAAAACAATCCCAGATCATCAAACCAAAAATCTGTGACACTACAATTGAAATAAAATTGCCTCTGAACAGTGATGAACACATAATATTATCACCAGTTTTATTGAATTCTGTAGAAAATGATAATCATTTAATAAGTAACGTTGAAACTGAAGGTAAATATTCTAATGAAAAATGGTCATCATATAGGTACCTACTTTTTTAATGTGTATTATTTAATTTTTTAATTTTATGCTAGCCATGCAAAAAAATTTGATGAACTGTAACGATAAACCTGAAATAAAAATGCCTCTGAACAGTGATGAACATATAATATTATCACCAGTTTTATTGAATTCTGTAGAAAATGATAATCATTTAATAAGTAACGTTGAAACTGAAGGTATATATTCTAATGAAAAATGGTCATCTATGTGTTATAGCCGTTATAGGTAAATTTTTAATTTGTATTATTTCATTTTTTAACCTTATACTAGCTTTGCAAAGAATGTCGATGATTTGTAACGATTCTATTGAAGTAAAATTGCCTTTGAACAGTGATGAACACATATTATCACCAGTTTCTTTGAATTTTCTAGAAGTTTATGACTTTGACTTAAATGATCAAAATATTGAAACTTTTAAAACTGGAGATGACATTGCTTCAATTGATATAGGTACCTATGTTTATACTTTTTTAAAAATTCATTGTTTAATATTATGGCATCTTTCAGGACAACAAAAGTATTCCACTAAAGATTATTTTGATAAGATAATTGATAATGATCCATTTAACATCGAAAATGAAACAGGTATTACAATTTTTATATTTTAATTCTTTATGTAGTGACACTTAAATTAAAGTTTTAGCAGAACCTAATTTATAATTATTTTTTCAACCAAAATGTTCAAATATTTTTTTTATTGCTTACTTATATAGTGGCATATCTGTAAATTGTTATTACTTATAGACGCTAACTATACATTTTTATAATACTTTAGCGTATATGTCTGAATGTTATGACAAAACACCAACTAAATACCAGAATTTACTATCCAAATCAAATGAAGATTTTAAACCAGATACTTCTAGTGGTGACTGCTATTCAGAAGATTCAGGATCCGATTACATGTCTTCTAATCATATGATGTGTAACTCGAGTGAAGACTTTTCTGACGCATCAGATCTTAATATAGACCAATATGCTCACGAAGATGAATACAATTTATGCAAGTCATCTACATCATTCACTGATCCCAATGAAAAACAAAACTTACCAAAACAAGTAACAGATTTGTCTAAAAGAATAAAAAAAAGGTTATAATTTCACAGGATTAATTGAAGTATCAAAGAAAAAACCATTAAATAATAAACGATGTTGGGATAAAAGTGATAACTGTATTTTCTGTGAAAAAAATGTGACAAATTTTACAAGACATATCATAAGAAATCATTCAACAGAAATGGAAGTTGCACGGTATATGTCCCTCAAAAAAGGATCAAAAGATAGAAAAAAGCTATCAGATGAGCTTCGGAAAAAAGGAAACTTTTTATGCAATATAGGTGGTGAACAAAATATTAAACCAGTTAGGCGCCCAAATGCGTTTTCTGAAACTTCTGACGCAACACAATATTTACCATGTAAATATTGCTATGGTTTATATAAAAGATTATATTTATTTAGACATATAAAACATTGTAAAAGTAAAATATCTGAACCAAAACAAGGTAGAAATAATAGAGCACAAGCCGACGCTCATAATATTTTATTGGCATTTACTGACCATGACACACAACTTATTAATGAAGTATTTCCAAGAATGGCCGTCGATGCCATTTCAACTGTTGCCAAGACAGATCACCTTATAAAAGCTTTCGGATCAAGGTATTTGAAATGCCATAAAGAGAAGCACCTAGTAAATGTTGTATCCCAAAAAATGAGGACACTTGCTCGTCTTGTAATTCAGATGAAAGATGAGGTACCGGGTATTAAATCTTTACAAGACTGTCTAGTTCCAAAATATTTTGACTACATTGTAAAATGTACTAAAATTGTTGCTAATCATGATACATCCACAGATACATTTGGTTCACCTTCAGTAATTTTAAAAATGGGCAGCTCATTGAAACAGTGCTGTGATAATGCAGAGTTTAATCTTTTAAAAAATTGTGACAACCTTGTATTAGATGAACAACAAAGAAATATCCAACAATCAATAATAAATATGAGATTTATTATTGATAAACAATGGTCATATGAGGTTTCAACAAATGCCAGCAAAGAAATGTATCAGAAGAAATGGAATAAGCCAGCTTATCTTCCTCTTACTTCAGATATAATGCTATTTAGAAACCACTTAATAAATATTCAAAATCAAAGTGCGAAAGCTTTAAAAATAGATTTTAATAATTTGAAAGCTTATAAAGAATTGCAAGAAAGTATTTTAGCTCAATTAATTTTACTGAATCGAAGAAGGTCTGGTGAAGTCCAACGCATATTTTTGGAAACTTACGTATCTGCACCAAGTGAAGTTTCTCAAGAGGAGGTTGAGTCATCTCTTTCCGAAATGGAGCGTCATCTTACAAAACAATTTAAAAGGATTGTGATAAGAGGCAAGCGAGGTCGTGGTGTACCAATTTGATTTACTCCCAACCTACAAAAATCAATAAAGCTATTGCTTGAAACAAGAAAAGTTACAAACTATATTGATAAACAAAATACATACTTATTTGCATTACCTAATACTATGAGTTGTTTGAGAGGATCAGATGCAATTCGAAAATTTAGTAAGGACTGTGGTGCCAAAAATCCAGAAAATTTAACGTCTACAAGATTACGGAAACAGGTAGCTACTGTAGCACAACTGTTAAATCTATCAGAAAGTGATATTGAACAACTAGCCACATTTATGGGACACTCTAAAGAAGTCCACAAACAATTGTATCGCCTTTCAGAAAGTACTTTTCAAGTTGCCAAAGTCAGTAAATTATTATTAATGATGGAAAAGGGGCAAGGACAGGAGTACAGAGGTAAGAGTTTAGATGAGATAGATATCAATATGGACAGCTTAGTAACAGATATAGAAGAAAGCTCAGATGAAGAAATAGATCATTCTGAAAAAAAAATAACAGTAATAGCTTCAACTAAAAACAATAAACCTGAAGAAAAGAAAAATGAAGAAAAGAAACATGTAAGAGTATGCTGGTCAGAGGAAGAGAAAAAAGTAACGAGAGAATATTTTCAGAAACACATATTATTAAATAAAGCACCTAAAAAAGATGAATGTAATGCACTAAAAATAAAATATCCACAACTGTTCGAAAATAAGCCATGGAAAAAAATAAAAACTTTTGTTCACAATATATACAACAAGCCTAAAAAGTAAACATATGCCAATTTGTATTTAATAATTAAGTAATGAAGTTGTTTTTTATATTATGTATGACCATTTACATAGTTACACATTGAATATCTTTGTATTTCTTATTTCATTTATTGGTAAACTAAAAATTATGTACCTATTATTAATTTAAATATAATATTACTTACTACTATCCACAACTGTTCAAAAATAAAACTTATTTACAATATATACAACAAGTCTAAAAAGTAAACATATACCAATTTGTATTTAATAATTAAGTAATGAAGCTGTTTTTATATTATGTATAACTATTTGCATAGGTACACATTGAATATCTTTGTATTTCTTATTTCATTTATTGATAAACTAAAAATGATGTTATTAATTCAAATATTATATTACTTACTACTATGATTAATTTCAAGTATTTGTTAAATTAGTTTAAATGTTGTGTAGTCACTACTTCACTAGTCCTATTGATACTGATGCGGTACATTTTGTCCGTTCTCATTTCACACCTACTGTTGCAACATGCAGCCACATTGTGTATAAGCATCAGTTCTGTTTCGGAAGTTTGGCAACGTTTAATGTATCTAATAAGATGATAACCTTTTGAATAAAATACACTCTGGATCTAACAAGATGCGCCAAACAATCAAAATCACACTCCTGGATCCCACATTATACTAATATTTCTTATACATTCTTTGGATCTCGGAAGGATATATAATATCTTAAAAATTTCTTGAGTGTATGGTAATTGTTTTTATCACATCAAATATAACAATTTTTATTATAATTTTTGTAATTGGTCCAATTAATATAAATTGATGTTTAATGCCGGATCTAATATCGTAGCCTTTTTCTTATGGATCCCATAAAATACGCTCCGTGTGTGTGTGTGTGTGTGTGTGTGTGTGTGTGTGTGTGTGTGTGTGTAATACAAATCATAATTTGATAATTATTATATGAATAGTATTGTAATTTTATTAAAATAATAGCATGAAACTGAAAGTATATCTATCGCAAAACCTGCCAAAGCAAGCAGTAATAAAAGAAAAAATGATTTAGAACCAAAAGCCAATATCAAAAAGACAAAGACCGCAGGAAAGGTAATAAGTAATATTATATTATTTCTTCAATATTACACACACACACACACACACACACACACACACACACACACACACACACACACACACACCCTAATAACACAGGACGTCAAAGGGAAATATACTAAATAGTTCCAACGCGGGACATCTGAAATGGAAGTTTGTGGGATGTATATGGGATAGGCTTCGAAGGAAAATACCACGGACAATAAATAAAAAAGATAGATAGTAGATGACGGGCTATAGACCGGCTATATTAACTATTATTATGATAGTAATGTATGGTGGGGAAATATGGCGAGTGTATATTGAGCACTATATTATTATAATAATATATTATCAAATGTATATAATATATAGTAGTGGATACAAGTAATTTTATATATCATAAATAATAAATATATTATATTGTGTTGTATTGAATAATATAATATTAAACAATAATATTGTGATTGTGAATTTGTGAATGTGAAAGTGTGAACTGAGTGAACTGACAATTTTGTATTGATAGTTATTTAATGGGGAATTCCAGAATTTTATTTACTTTATTATTATATTTAGTTGCCTTTACTATAATTGGTTGGTACGATCACGTGATTTCGCTGCGAACCTAAAGATAAACGATTAACGAATAATCCAACAATATATTATTTTCTTATTTTTATTATTTTCTACTAACAATTAACATTAACTTACATTAATCTACCTAACCTAGATGGCTATAGATGTTAATTCTTATAATACATAATAATTATTGATTCAATAACTTGATGATTGATTCGTTTGTCAATTGTCAATTGGTATCTTTAATTTGCATCCGCCATTTAGCATCTGAGTGTCAGACGTCTGCAGACATATTTGTTGACATCGAGACATCGCGTCAGTCCGGTCAGTGTACTACACGTGCAGTGAACATAGTACTGTTCCTGTTATACTGTTAATTGTTAAATATTGCTTCTAGTATTGTGTCAATGTATCTTAACTCTTCGTGCTAGTTTGCTTTGGTAAGTTTATATTGTTTATAAATGCTAAACAGTAATTTTATTATAGTACCTATTTTGTCACTGGGCATATTATATATGCTAAATATATATATATATATATATTATATAAATATCATATTATATTATATATTATACATTATGATTGCAGATTATATTGAACAAAGAGTATATGTTTACCTTATATTACACCTAGATGTTAATTGTTAAAATACATAATAATTATTAATTCAATAACTTGATGATTGATTCGTTTGTCAATATATCTTATCTCTTCGTGCTAGTTTGCTTTGGTAAGTTTATAAATTCTAAAAAGTAATTTTATTATAGTACCTATTTTGTCACTGAGCATATTATATATGCTATATATATAATATAAATATTATATATACATTATGATTGCAGATTATATTGAACAAAGAGTATATGTTAGCCTTATATTTCAACAGTCATGTCTAATTTACGGTAAGCAATTTATTTAAAGCCAAACAAATTTTGTTTTATTTTTAATATTATACTATTTATACTGTATAGACTATAGGACCTATATAGGTCATACATTTATTTATTTGCATTTCAAATACTTACATATATTCAGGAAATGATAGGTAATGTAGCTACTAGCTATATATAATTAACCTACTATATATTGTATACTCACTAAAAAAAAAAAGTAATAATATTAACTAAGTAACTTAACTTACAGTTAAAATTTTCTAATTTGCAAAAATAAAAAATTGCACACATAATATTAGTTTTTCTACGCTCAAGAAAATTACTGGGGAAATTTTTTAAAATGATACATAAAAGTATTAACTAGCTATCAAAAAACCTACTTTTCCAAAATAAACCTCATTAATAACTTGCATTTTCTTTGCACTAAAATTAACTTAATTTTAACTTTTAACTCGTTAATGCCCAGCCTTGCCTATTACCTAAACTTATAAATGTCTACGATTACCTCAACATTTTCCCACTGACCTTAATTTAGATTTTTTAAAGTAATTTTTTTCAAAAATTTGAAAAAAAGCACTTAAGTTTTGCAGTACCCTTATAAATCATTAATTATACATTTTTAATTTGCTATATTTCCGATTAGATAAAAAAAATACAATATAATATAATATGGTTATTTTACATTAATTAATGTTCTCTTTATTTATATATTTGGATTAATTATTATAGAGTTTAAACACCTACCTAATAATATTGTTGTTAGGGAAGAGAAAAATGTGACAAAGAGAAAAAAAAACCATTAAATGTAATAACATCAAAACAATTAAAAAGAAGAATAATTCAAGAAAGAAGCATAGTTTCTGGTTCTTCGTCAACTAATATTTCGAGTACAGTTAGTACTGAAAGTACTCTATATAATGAAGTTGTGTCATGTGAAAAAGAGAATAGTCCAGTAATTGAATCTCTTTCTTCAAAAATATCAGAGGAAATATCAGTTATACATTCAAAACAAACATTGGATAGTGAATATAACATGCAGCTTGTTAATTTTATGCCATCAGAAACATCTACTGATAAAGATGTTACAGAAAATCAAAGTTTACACGAAAAATTAGTTTCTTGGACTCTTGAAAACAATATAACTCATAAAGCACTTTCTAATTTATTAAAAATTATTAGACCACATGTCATTGAAGATAATTTGCCCAGGGATGCCAGAACACTAATGCAGACTCTTAGAACTACCAATGTAAAAAAAGTATTTCCTGGGGAGTACTATCACTTTGGTCTTCAATGTGGTATAATTCATTTTTTAAAACAACATCCTTTATTTTGTACATCAAATTCTACTATTAGTTTAATGATAAATATAGATGGACTCCCAATAGCAAAATCTTCAAATAGTCAGGTTTGGCCAATTTTGGGATCAATTTATAAATATAATCATGTTTTTATAATTGGTGTATACTTTGGCAAAGAACATAAACCAGCTAGTTCTAATGAATTTTTGAATGATTTTGTTCAAGAATCTAAGTATATGACTGAAAGTGGATTTGAATTTAATGGTCGTAAGTACAAATTCCATATTAAAGGAATAAGTGCTGATGCCCCGGCAAAATCATATATGTTATGCATAAAAAATCATGGAGGATATTCCAGCTGTACCAAATGTACAACTGAAGGTACATATATAGAACGTCGAGTTTGTTTCCCTTCGGAAACGATCGTCTTGAGAACTGATATAGATTTTAACAATTATAAAGATGAAGATTATCATATGGGGAAAACTGCACTAACTGAAATACCGGGTTTAGGTTTAGTTACTAATGTACCACTTGATTATCAACATCTTATATGTCTTGGTGTTACTAAAAAATTAATAAGTTTATGGTTATGTGATAGTCTCAAAGTTCGACTGTCTAGTAGCAAAGTTAAAATTATTTCAAATTCTATAGACAACAATATTACACCTTTTGTACCTTTGGAATTCCAAAGAAAGCCAAGGTCTTTTAATATGTGGAAACAGTGGAAAGCTACAGAATTACGACAATTCTTATTGTATTATGGTCCAATTGTTCTATATTCGGTAGTATCTGAAGAAGTTTATATACATTTTTTGATTTTACACGTTGCTATTCGTATTTTGTGTACTGGTAAATATTGTAATGAGCCAGAGTTCATAAATTATTGCCAAGATCTATTAACTAATTTTGTAAAGACTTTCAAATTGATTTATGGTACACATCATATATCACACAATGTTCATGCATTACTACATTTGGCTAAAGATGTTGAACATTATGGATCTTTGGATTTATTTTCAACTTTTAAATTTGAAAATTATATGCAGAAAATAAAAAAAATGATAAAAAAAGATGATAAACCGCTGCAACAAATAGTTCGAAGGATTCATGAAGCAAAATTTAATGATGTATCTCAGTGCAATTGTGATTTAAAAAAAAATATTATCTATTATAAGTTACATTCAAAAGGTCCACTTATTAATGATACTAGTGGTCCTCAATACCAAGCCTTAAAATTCAAAGAATTCACACTAATTTCACAAGATTCTAAAAACCAATATTGTAGTACAATAAATGGTGATATTATTAAAATTTATAATATTTCATACCATAAAAAACTACTATGTGAAGTGATAATTGGTAGAAAATTTTTAAGAAAAGAAAATTTATTTACATTACCATGTTTATCTTCAAAACTAGGAATATATGAAGTCCATACACTCTCAAAACTAGCAAGTTGGCCAGTTCATCACATTGATTCAAAAATTTGTCTTTATCCAATTCCAAGAAAAAAATCTAAATATGCAGCTTTTCCTCTTCTTCATATTGACAAAGACGAAATTCCAAAAATACAATAAATTTATAAAATTAAAAATAAATAAATTACTAATTATTTGTCACTTTATCAATACAATAATACACATTATAATATTTAAGTTAAGCTATTCTTGTCTTAGTAGTTTAATAACATAATATACTACCAATATTTTTATACAAACATTTATGTGTTTTACTTTTCTTAGAAAATACATCATCGTTGAATTTAGTGATGGACTACAAATAGTTCCAAAAAACTGGAAAATAAATGATTTAACTTTTTACTATCCTGTTGGTTTAAAAAATCCTAAATTGTATGACAATTTAGTGTCAAAAATGGCTGATCCAAATATAAATTGTAACAGCAATTATAAATTTACACCACTTACAATTATTAAAATATATGGATCTGATGGTAAGTGATACTTAGGTACTTAAACATTTAAGCATATTTCATATATTGTACATACCAGATGAATATTTATTAATCCATGTTTATCATTATTATTTAGATGATTTTATAATTAATGCTAAACACAAATTAAAAACTGCAGAAAATTTTACGGATATCAATACTGATGATGATGTCAAAACACAAAGACGTACTCATGCAAAAAAAAAATATTCATCAAGTGACGATGAGGGATCTCAATCATTTTTCGACCTTCCTTCTCAAAAGACTTATGCATCAAATTTAAAAAAGAAAAAGAATAATGAGGATAATGACAACAGCAAAATATTTACCCAATCAATGTTTAATTCTTTTCCAACTATTCATAATACCATAAAGTGTGCCGATATTCTTCAGAATGAAATGTCATGTGATTTACCAATTTCCGGTATTTATATAATTAATTAATTTTTATATGTACAATTTATCATATTTAGTAGGTATCTTTTAATTCATACCTATGTGCCTTTGTTTTAAAACCAATTACTTAAGGGGATTGGAAGTGGAGATTTTCTGTCTTTGTTAAACACACGTAGAACATAGCTATATGACTAACCAAAATTCTAGTTGTTCGATTTAAAATATGTAAAAGATGTTTGAGTTGGTATACAAGTTTCCTTTGCATCAGTAGAAACACTTTCAATTGCAGCAATATTTGGATGAGAATAAATATTTTACATTTTATAAATTTGTCAATTTTTAATATTAAATACCTTAATTTTTGTTTTATTTTCAGAAAACCATTTGTTTTCTACTACAATACACAATGCATCAGAAGATTATCAATTACTAACTTCAACTCACGCAGCAGTAATAAAAAGTCCTATTAAAACTACAAATATAACAAGTAAATTGAATATTTAAATAAATTTACTAAAATTGTAAGCAAATACATAGATATGTCCTATATCAAATGTATAAAATGGTTAATGACCATTAGGTATATAACTGTGTTTTTATAAATTGTATTATGAGCTCATAACACAACTTAAAAAGCATTACCAGAACTAGTAATTAATATTAAAATATTATGTATATTTAAATATTAATAAATAAAATTATTCCATTATGTTTAGGTAACCAGTTGACCAATAGTTTTTTGTCTAAAACAATAGATACTGAATTTATTAAAGAAAATGAATTTATAACTTCATCAACACAAATTGATGAAATGATAAAAACTCCTGTGAAAACTACGACTAATGGTATGTATGCGATAATAATTTTGTTTTAATGTATCAACTTTAATCAGAATTAAATCAATGTAAATTATATTAGATTAATAGAGTAAACATAATAAAGTACAAAATACAAATAAATTCATCACAAGTGAGTGACATTTTTAAATAATTTTATTTAAGTACAAGTCAAATCTAGAAGTTTAATATATTTCTTAAAAGTACTTAAATTATTAAAATTAGTTAAGTTTAAATATATAAATATATATATATATATATAGTTTAATTTTAAAATAAATTCATAATTTATTTATTTTTGTCCAAAAACTTTTGCATCATTTGGTAAACTCATATTGATATTATGTTTAAATCTAGTTTTATTTTTATAAGCATTGAAAGTTCGAATTTTGACAAAATACGTAAAAACACGAAAATTTGCAATTTATTTTGAGTTAGAAATTCATAAAAATTTTTAATTTTAAATCTAAGGTTTGAAAATTCTATACAAAATTCTTCATGAGTTTGTCTACTTTTATCAAATAAAAAATTTCTACATATAAATTAGTAAAGCCGTTGGTAATAGGCGATACCCAATTATTTTTATTTTTATCATATTTCCTACTCCCCGTTTGGCATTATACATAATACCTAGGTAAAGCTCGTATTATGTATACTTCCTAGTGATTTTTGGCATTTTATATAATGCCTAGGCATTTTGCAAAATACCGGATTATCCATATTGCCGGTAAAATATATATAGGTTAGGTGAATATTACCTAACCTGGTATATATTCCGATTAGGATGGGATAGGCATATATATATATGCCTATCCCATTCTAATTTATAATCAAAAAGTAAATCAATATTTTATTTCTTGTACTTCTTTAATGACAATATTTATACAACTTAAAATTCTATTTTAATATTATTTTTTTAAAATTATTATAGCATCAAGTATGTTAAGAAATGCTTTAGATATGACATTTATGACAAGTCCTGGAACTATTGATATAAACTTAAATAAACAAACCGTACAGCTATGCGATGATACTTTATTAAACAAAACAGCAATTATTACAACAAATGAGTTAGGTATTAACTTTCATGATATAATTTATTTTTATTTAAATGGTGTATAAAAAAAGCATTTATAATATATATATTTTTAAATTTTTAGATAAAAAAGTTGAACACTTAACAAATTATACAGCAGAAATCAAATTGAAAGTAGATAAGATATTATTAAACCAAGAAAGAATGCTTAATTTTTTAAGACGTCAACAAATTGGTGAACCAAATAATGCACAAAGTGAAGAATTTGATATCCATTTTGAAACTTACTATCCATTAAAAAAACCTGAGGACTTTTTACATATTACTGAATTATTAAAAAATGAGAACTACTACAAATTACTTGTAAGATACCTACATGTTATCACAATTTATAAATAATAAGAAAATTGTTATTCTATTTTTAATTTGTCCTAATATTTTACAGCGAACAAAACTTTTAATGTATGGTGGTTCTGATATACCCAGTGCAGTAAAAATTATTTTAACAAAAGTTATATCAAATGAACTAGGAACAAAAATTACATTAACAGGATTATCTGCTGGAAGACGCCCAGCACCAGATGAAAAATTAGGTCTTCTTAAAACAAAATTTTTTGGACTTCTTCTCGGTGAGAAAATATATTTGTATATATTGCATCGAGAGAAAGCTATGCAGATATTTGTTGTCTCCGTCTTGTGTGCACAAGTGTGTTCATGCAAGTTGAAGCTCAGCAGATGCCTAACTTCATTAGTTAAAAAATTAGATTGAATCGACCTATTATGAAACTTGATGGTAAGAACATTATTTATATTTGTATATAAGTTTTTATGATATTTCAGCTTTTAAGTGGTTTATTAGTATTTTTAATTTACTTTATATTATAATATGCATAACTTACTAAAAAACTGAACTATCCTTAAAAGCTTGCATACAAAGACTAATAATTTTCTTACCATCAAGTTTCAAAATAAGTCGATTCACTGTTATTTTTAAGCTAACAGAGCTAAACGTGATCTGCAGATAAAAGAGCACAAATTTGCTATGTTACACACTTGTAAGATTATAAGACAACAAATGGCTATGCAGTGTCCTTTTAAACTATATTATATATTTAATTTGCCATTATTCAGATGAGAAATAGTTTTAACTTTGATAGAAAACAAGTTTGTTTAAAAGTTATACTTTTTTGTACGACTTCATTTATTTAATTTAAATATACAAATTTTGTATGAGAAAGATTCAGAAGTTACTATAAAAATTATTGATTTTAAAAATTAAATTATATCTAATATTGCCAGATAGATTGAATGATATCATTCTATATTCTATTAAATATATATGTATATATTTTTATATTATTACATTTTACATTATTTTCAGATGTTTTAAAGAACAGTTTTCCAAATGTAACGGAAGAATTAATGAAGAAACCAATAAGTAGTTGGTTAAAACATTCTAAAGACAGACTCTCCAGAGAAAAACAAAATCATTTAAACACAATTTAATTATAATTTTAATTCATTTTTTTAAGATTACAATATTGTAATAATGACATTTTTAGTAGTTTTACGTATATGTATATATACATATAAATGTATGATAATTACTTTTAATAAACTATTCTATAAAATTGCAGAATTATGGATATTCTTTAAAGAATCAAATTTGACCCATGCATCTATTATATATACATATATATATGCCGGTATATATCCCGGCCGGGATGAATAGTGATTGAGTAAAAGGTACATTTATGGGATACAAGTATAGGATTAATATAGGAATTTCCTGGGAATGTCAAAGTGGAACGTTCCCGGGAAGTAGACATTAAGCAATACTTGGTATATTACTTTGGATGTACGATTTTAAGCCTGGGACCTGATCGGGATGTTCCTGAATAGCTCTAAATGTTCCCGTCTGACTGTCCATGGACCTACCTTTAGATATCCCTGTGTTATTAGGGCACTTTTTAAGTATAAATTGAAATGTAACTTTATTCTATATATTAGCACACAGAATCATATAAGGATATTTTTGCTGAATTAATTTCGAAAGGAAGTTTTGAAAATAACGCAAGCAATTCTTTAACAATGATGGAGGGAAATAATTCATTTACTTTCCAGTGTCCTATTGCACCAAAGTGTGAGGACTACTGGGTTATTCAACACTACAAAGTCAAAACGATTGAAGATATTCCGTCAGCTGAAAGGTTAGTAAAAAAAAAAAAAAAAACTGATTAAATATATAATACATAGTTAAATATCATCAATGCTGAAATGTATTACCTGACGGATTCATTATTAGAAATTAACCTACACCTAACATTATGCATCACGAGTGAATGAAATTTATAATTAAAATAATGAGCTCAAGGATTGAATTGTTGATATTTGACTATAACATGATTAAATAAATAAACATAATATTATTATGAATATTAAATAATTTTTTTATACTAGATGGAAACATACGGAGGACAGTATAAAATTGTACACTACGAATCGGGATTCAAAAGATACAAATATTGCGATCAAAATAAATGACGTTGTACGGGATATATTGGATCGATTTTCATCAGATCCGAAACGAAAATTAATTAAAAATAATAAA